CAGTACTCCCACTCCTGTGTCCTGCCCACTCCCAGGCCCCTGCCCAGCCCCTGGGCCCAGAGCAGCTCCTGGGGCTCACCTGGGCACTGATCCGGGCCACGAGGAAGCTCTTCCTGTTGTCCAGCATGGACTTCTCCAGGAGACACTCCTGTGCCTGGCCCTGCAGGGGACAAGAGAGGAATGCTGGGTGTCCCCAAGCCCTGGGACAGCCCAGCTCCCTGGCAGCACCCCCTGGCTCCAGCCCTTTCCCAAAGGTGGATGTGGCACAGGGAACAGCAGCCCTGAGGGTGCCTGGAGAGCCCAGGAATAGCACTGAGCCTTCCCTGATCCCCAGTGCCCCCCAAAACCTCCTTTCCCCACCCTGGGAGAGAGCCCAGACCCCAGAGAGAGCCTCTGGGGGGACACTGGGGTCCTTGGATGCACGGGGAACACCAACCCCATGGACACACTGGGGGGGTCCCAGTGCCCCCATCTCTGCCAGCAGTGCCCCCAGCCAATGCCAGCAGTGCCCCCAGCCAATGCCAGCAGTGCCCCAGTCCCTGCCAGCAGTGCCCCAGTCAATACCAGCAGTGCCCCAGCCAATGCCAGCAGTGCCCCCAGCCCCTACCAGCATGAGGTTGATGTTGAGGCTCAGGATCTGGTGGCTCATGTCCACGCTGTAGGAGTGAGGGAAGTGGTCCCTCAGGTAGGTGAAGGCACCAGCAGCACACTGGAAGTGGGTGCAGGAAACCTTCATGCCCTGAGGGGATGGAATTGCTGGGTTTGGAGAAGATTTCCCAGATCACGGAGTCCACCCAGCCCCCAGCACTGCCATGGCCACCCCTGACCATGTCCCCAAGTGCCACATCCACAGGGATTCTAAATCCCTGCAGCAATGGGGACTCCACCATGCCCTGGGCAGCTGGGCCAGGGCTGGAGAGCCTTTCCAGGAGGAACATTCCCAATATCTACCTGAGCCTCCCCTTGAGGCCATTCCCTATTGTCCTGTCACCTGGGAGCAGAGCCTGAACCCCTGGCTGTCCCCTCCTGTCCCCAGGGTCCCCCTGGGTCCCCTCCTGGTGCTCACCCCCTCCCCAGCCCTGCGCCAGCAGCCCCTCAATGTCCTGTACCTGGACACCCCAACGCCCACAGGTTCCAAGTGCCCCCCAGTGCCCAGCACACGCAGCTGGCACTGCCCAGGTGCCCCCCAGTGCCCAGCACACGCAGCTGGCACTGCCCAGGTGCCCCCCAGTGCCCAGCACACGCAGCTGGCACTGCCCAGGTGCCCCCCAGTGCCCGGCACAGGGACAGTCCCTGCCCAGCACACCCAGCTGGCACTGCCCAGGTTCCCCCCAGTGCCCAGCACACGCAGCTGGCAGTGCCCAGGTGCCTCCCAGTGCCCAGCACACGCAGCTGGCACTGCCCAGGTGCCCCCCAGTGCCCAGCACACCCAGCTGGCACTGCCCAGGTGCCCCCCAGTGCCCAGCACACGCAGCTGGCACTGCCCAGGTGCCCCCCAGTGCCCGGCACACCCAGCTGGCACTGCCCAGGTGCCCCAGAGGGACAGGGGGGTCGTTACCTCCTCGGACACGCGCTTGTCCATGGCTCCCAGCATGGAGTGCAGGGCTCCTGTGGGGGGACAGGGGGGCTCAGCGGGGCAGGGACACCCCAGCACCCCTGGGAACGGGGGCTCGGGCCAGGGAGCTCACCCAGGTTGTAGAGGACGCAGGCCTGCTCGTACTTGATGTCCTCGTGTGTCACCGCCTTGCCCGAGAAGATCTCAGTCCTGGGGGCAGGGGCACAGGACAGGGAGCAACCAGGGATTCCCCCAGGAGCAGGAATTACTGGGAGTCCCATTCCCCAAGGTCTCTGGGACCCCCTCTGCAGGACCCCATTCCCCAAGGGCTCCCCAGGGCAGGACCCCATTCCCCACAGGTGCCCTGGGCCACCCCTGTGCCACCTCAGGCAGGACACTGTCATCCCCCAAGGGGTTCCTGGGATGCCCCAGTGCCACTCTGGGCAGGATCACATTCCCCAAGGCGTTTGCGGTTCCTGGAGCAGCCCTTCCCCAGGGAATGGGCATGGCCATATCCTGCCTGGCTCAGCCCCCCACCCCAGATACCCCATCTCAGTCCTGATACCCCATCCCATCCCATCCCAGATACCCCATCCCAGTCCTGATACCCCATCCTATCCCATCCCAGATCCCCCATCCTCCCCCATCCTGGTCCACCACCACATCCCAGGTCTCCCATCCTATCCCATCCAACCCAGCCATCCATCCCAGCCTCCCCCATCCCAGATACCCCATCCTGGATCCCCCATCCCAGTCCCCAACACCCCATCCTATCCCATCCCATCCCAGATACCCCATCCCATCCCATCCTAGATCCCCCATCCTACCCCATCCCATCCCAACACAGCCATCCATCCCAGCCTCCCCCATCCCAGATCCCCCATCCCAGTCCCCAATACCCCATCCTATCCCCTCCTGGATCCCCCACCCCAGTCTCCCCATCCCCTCCCAGATACCCCATGCCGGATCCCCCATCCCAGTCCCCAATACCCCATCCTATCCCATCCTGGATCGCCCATCCCAGTCTCCCCATCCCAGACACCCCATCCCATCCCATCCCAGATACCCCATGCCGGATCCCCCATCCCAGTCCCCAATACGCCATCCTGTCCCCTCCCGGATCCCCCATCCCATGCTGGATCCCCACCGCAGACAGCCCCACCCCGTCCCTCACCAAGTGACGGGCACGGCGGCCTCCTGGCCCTGCCCCATGGGGATGCGGCTCTGCAGGAAGTGCAGCTGCCCCAGGTACTTGCGCAGGGTGCTGCAGCCCTCGAAGTCCCGGGGCACGCTGACGGCGCTCTGCGAGCGGGGAGGGGAGGGGAGGGACGGGCTGGGGCTGCTCCGTGCGCCGCAGCCGGGCACAGGGGCGGCCCCGGCCGGGGGGGCGGCAGGGCCACCCCAGGGTCCCCCCAGGGCCACCCCAGGGACCCCCTCACCTGCCGGAGCAGCTCCAGCTTCCGCAGCTCCTCGTTGTAGCTCTCGGGGTTCTCCCCATAGTTCTTCAGCACGAACTGGGAGAGGGGAGAGGCTGAGCGGCCCCGAGCCCCTCCCGGCCCCGGAGCGGCCACCGGGGACACCGGGCTGGACTGCACGGACACCGGGCCGGGCACCGGGCTGGACTGCACGGACACCGGCCCGGGCACCGGGGAGTCTCACGCCCACGGAAGGCTCGGGGAAAGGGATCGGGGAATGGGATGGGGGAACGGCTGAGGTGTGAAAAGGGACTAAAGGGCGCAGGGAAGGCCCCCCGGCCCCAAGGTGTGCTGGGGACACTCCCAGGACACGCCCGTGTACCCCGCAAAACCGCGCGGGGCGCGACACAAGGCTGGGGACCCCCCAGTCCTCTCCATCCATGAATTGTGTGGCACAGGAAGCGGCGGACAGGGGCGGAGCTTGTTTACGGCCGTTCATTAAGTGACTAATTAATTACCGGGCCCCGCGGGGGTGGCACGGACACGGTGCAGGGGGGTCCCGTCCCTCGCTGCCCGCCCCGATCCAAACCCCCAGCTCCAGTCCCGGCGGCTCCCGGGACCCCCCAGCATCCCGCCCGTCGTTCCTCCTGCCCCGGGCCCCCCGAAGGCAGCGGGACCTCCCCGGTTCCCTCCCGGCCCCGCCCCGCCCAGGCCCCGCCGGCCCCACCTTCTTGACGGCGGCGTTGAAGGCGAACTCGCCGGCCTCCTTGAGGTCGAGCCAGATCATGGGCATGCGGGGCACGGCCTCCATCCCGGCCCGCTCCCGGCACGGCCCGGCCCGATCCCGGCCCCGCTCCCGGCACGGCCCGGCCCGCCGGAACCGCGCGCGGGGGCTCACGGGACACCGAGTCCGCGCGACACTTCCGGGCCCGTTCCCATGGCGACGCCTCGCCCCGCCCCTCGCGCCGGTTCCCACGCCCCGCCCACTCGGAAGGGGTGATGGTGCGGCCACGCCCACTAAGGGCGGGGCACGCGTCGTTGCCATGGGGACGCCTCGCCCGCCGATTGGAGGACACGGGTGTTGTCGCGGGGAGTTGTCACCTCCTCCCCGGAGGCGGGGCAGTTACCATGGCAACAGGCCACGCCTAGCCCCTCCCTTACAAGGCTCCCCTATCGGGATGCTGTAATTAGTAACTCCGCTAATTACCCTTCTCCCCACCTCCTGCAGCCCCCCAATGTCCCGTTGGGTATTTGGGGCTCCAGGACGTCTCGGTGGTCCCAGGGACACCTCGTCCTGCCCCAGGGCTGTTCCCACAACACGGATCAACCAGGGTAACAGGAGCTTATCCTGCAAGATTCCAGTAATGCATTTAACCCGTTAACGTAACCATCTGCTCCGTTATTAACTGATGCATTCATTTAACTGAGCCATTAGCGGAGCTATTCGATGGGTTCTGGCACCTCAGCAGCTTCCAGGATCCCTGCAGGAGCTCACCTGGGTCATGGCTTCCAGCTGGGAACTGTGCCCTGCCTCACAGCCAGTGTGTCCCTGTCCCCTGTCCCAGCTCAGCAGCCATCCACTCGGGCACTAGGGACTGGGGACACAGGACGTGAGCTCAGGGACAAGGGACACCAGGACCCAAGGACATTGGGACACTGTGGCTCATGGAAATGGGGCCATGTGCGCCTGGGACATGGGGACAGCAATCCCAGGTGACCCTGGGGACACGGGGTGAGCTCCTGCTCCCCTGCGGAATCTCAGCTGCAGCACCTGGAGCATCCCCTTCCCCTCCCACTAAATCCCTATCTTTATCCCTTTTTACCAGAAACAGAAAATAAAAAAGCTTTGGAGTCAAAACACGTTAAAACTACGGGTTCACGTTTAATGCCCTGACTCTGGCGTCGCTGAATCCTCCTGGATCTTCCACAGGGCCTCTGCACAGATCCCTGTGGGACCACGGGCCCAGGAAGGGCGGGCTGAGCCGAGTCCCCAGCAGGTGACACCCAGCACACAGCTGCTGCTGCTCATTAACAGAGCTGCGTTAATTACAGTGCAACAGCCTGGCGCCCGCCTCCTCCTTCTGGGGGCCTCCTGATCCCTCTGCACCACCACGGAGGGAGCCTGGAAAGGGAAAGGCAGCAATGTCAGTGACCAGCCCTGCTGCCCCTGGATTTCCACATTCTCCCCAAATCCCAGTGGGCCTGGGGTATCCATAACCACCCCTGGGATGTCCAGGGTTTCCATTACCACCCCCAGGATGTCCAGGTGTCCATAACTGGCCCTGGAATGGCCATTACCACCCCTGGGATGTCCAGAGTGTCCATAATCACCACATGATGTCCAGGTGCCCATAACCACCCTCAAGATGTCCATAACCCCCCCTGGGATGTCCAGGATGTCCATAATCACCCCTGGTGAGTCAATAACCCCCCCCGGGGTGTCCAGGTGTCCATAACCCCCCTGGGATGTCCATAACCCCCCCGGGGTGTCCAGGTGTCCATAACCCCCCCGGGATGTCCATAACTCCCCCCCTGGGATGTCCAGGTGTCCATAACCCCCCTGGGATGTCCATAACCCCCCCGGGGTGTCCGGGGTTTCCATAACCGTCCCCGGGAGGTGCCGGGAGCGGCCTCAAACGGCCCCGGGGTGCTCTGGCAGCGCTGCAGGAATGGTGGGAGCCACGCCAGGCCCCCCCATGCTGGAGCCTGCGGCGGGAAGGGCCCGGGGTGCTCCGGCACGGCGGATCCCGCACCCTGCAGGCGGCACTGGCAGCTCGGTGGCACCCCAGGAGTGCCCTGCTGGAGCCAGAGGGGACACGGGGACAGCCCAGGGCCTGGCAGGCTCCCGGGAGCCGAACTGCCCGACATTCCCGTGGCATTCCAGCCCTGCAGAGCCCCCCGGGCAGCCAAGGAGCACGGGCAGAGCTGGGGCTGGCCCTCACCTGGGCAGCGGTGTCAGCAGGTAACTCCTGCCAGGACGGAGCTCCATGTCTCGGTCACGGCATTCCCATGGAATTTCAGCCCTGGCAGACGAGGCGCTGAGGCCTTGGTAGCCTTAATTAACCAAAACCGGGCTCATTACGGTGCTAGGTGCCTTGAATCCACTTCCTTCTTCCCGGTGGCTTCCTGAATTCCTCTGGATCCTCGGAACAGGAGCCTAGAACAGAGAAGGGCAGGAATGCCACCGGTCCCACCGTGCCCGGGGGTTTCGGGCTCCCGCAGTCCCCCCCGCGTCCCACCCAGCCCGGGCATGTCCGAGGGTTCTATGACCGCCCCCGGGAAGCGCCGGGAGCGGCCTCAAACGGCCCCGGGGTGCTCTGGCAGCGCTACAGGAATGGCAGGGGCCACGCCAGGCCCCCCCATGCTGGAGCCTGCGGCGGGAACCCGCTCCCGAAGGAGCCTCGACCCCCGGGAGGGCCCAGGACCGCCCCGGCGGCCCTGCCCGGAACGCACCGCGGCCCCTCACGAGCGCGGCGGGGCCCGATGGGCGAGAAGCGCCGCACCCCGCGCGGCCCCGGGAGCCATCGGAGGTGCGACGGCCCGCGGAGGCGGCCCCGGCGGCGGGGGGCCGCGGATGGAGGCGGATGCGCACGGGCCGCCATCCCCCTCACCTGCTGCTGCGGCGGCCATGGCGGAGAGAGCGGGCGCCCGGTGATGACGTCACGGACATGCGGGCAGAGGCGGGATCAGCGCGTTTATTGCACGGGTGGGCGGGGCCAGGGGGAGGGGCGTGGTGTGAGGCCACATGTGTGGTCTCATTGTGACATCACAATAGAGGCGGGCTGTGGGGCGTGGTCTAACGGTGATGGGCGTGGTCAGCAGTGTTTACCGACGGAGGGCGTGGTTTTGGGTGGGCGTGGCTCGCCGTGCCGACCGTTTGGCGCAGGCGCATTGCCCTCGTCTCCCCCCCGGCGGCGGGACGATGACGTCACGGAAGGCGCCGCCCAAGATGGCGGCGGGGCCGAGCCGTGGGCTGTGAGGCGGCGCCGGGACCGGGACCGGGACTGGCACCGGGAGCGGGATCGGGAACGGCACCGGGAGGCGGGGCTGGAGCGGGAACAGGGCGGGCTATGGCCGCCGCCGCCGCCGCGCGTTGAGGCCCCGCCGCTCACCCGGGCCGGGATGCCCCGGGGGGGGCCCGGGCCGCCGCCGGAGCCATGGAGGAGGAGGGCAAGAAGGGCAAGAAGGTGAGAGCGGGGGCACAGGGGCAGCGGGGTCGCGCTGTGCCCCCGGGGGTGGTTCAGACCAGGCGGGGCCGCCCCCGGCGGTGCCCGGTGCCCTCCCGGGGCTGTTCCCGAGCCCCGTCCCGGGAGGCACCGGCTGCCGCTGCCCGGGACAGTCTGCCCTCATCCCCTTCCCAGAGCCCCGTCCCGGGACGCACCGGCTGCCGCTGCCCGTGAGACTCTGCCCGCGTCCCGTCCCCAAAGCCCCCAGCCCGGAACCTCCCGCTGTCACTGAGCGCTTGGAGAAGGTTGTTAATTGATGGGGTTATTAGTTATGGAGCGATTCATTGATGAGTTTGCTAATTTATTTAAATTGTTACTGATGCGAGTTAATTTAATTCGTGCATCTATTAATTGATGCCTCTTTCATGGCTCCGGGACTCAGCAGCTCCAGCCGTGCCCTGATTTCCCTCCCTCCAGCCCTGATGTCCCTCCTTGCAGCCCATTTCCCTCCTGTTGCCCTGATTTCCCTCCTTGCAGCCCATTTCTGTGGCCCTGCCCTCGGAGAGGCTCAGCCAGAGCTGCTCTGCACTCCTGGAGCAGGAGGATGGAGCTGTTCCCGGCGTTTGGGGGGAAATTGGGGATTTTGGGAGCCCATGGCCTCGCAGGGAGCCCAGAGGTGTCAGCAGGATCCTGCTGGAGCTGAGCAGACATTCCCAGGATGAGTGAAGTTGAGTGGGATTTTTTGGGAATTGCCCCCCAGGCTTCCCAGACAGGTTTGGGAATGAGACGCCCATGATGCCATCAGAGACAGGACGGTCCTGCTTTAGGGAAGGAATGGCTGCAGGGTTTAGGCAGAGCTCAGGTGTGCCTCACCTGCTCCCTGGGGCACCCCACTGCGTTCCTGACACTGGGAACAGTCTGGGTTGTGTTCCCTCCTCCCTGCCCCAGGGACACGTTGGGCTGGCCCCCATAACCCTGTCATACATAATCCCACCTGGATAATCCCACCTGGATGATTCCTAAAGCCTCCTTGGGCCCCTTCCCAGGGCTGCTCCCACTCCTGTCCTGTCCCAGTCCCTCTGGAGCAGGGCTGAGCTGACCCCTGGCACTGCTGTGGCCTCTCCTCCGCTGCTCCATGGCCTCGGGGAGCTCCCTTGGAAGGAGTTTTCCCTGGTTTTGGTGGTTAATTAACCCCTGGAGCTGCTGCCCATGGGTCACCATTAAACCTGGACAGTTTGGTGGTTAATTAACCCCTGGAGCTGCTGTCCATGGATCACCATTAAACCTGGACAGTTTGGTGGTTAATTAACCCCTGGAGCTGCTGCCCGTGGGTCAGCATTAAACCTGGACAGTTTGGCTGCAGACTGGGCAGCTCCATCCTTGTCTGCCCCAGCTGTTCCAGCTGCAGGGAGAGCTCTCCTGCCTGCTTTTCCCACCCCATGGATCATCCCCAGTGTAGGCATTGAGCTCCCTCAGTGCTGATCCAAAGGGAGCTCAGGGCAGCTTTGGCTGGGAGAAGGAGGAAAATCCCAGGCTGGCTGTGGATAAAACCTGAGCTGGTTTAAACTGGAGCCCTGCAGTTCCTTCCATCTCCTCACATTCCCTGGCTCTCACTGAGGTTGTCCCAGGGGAAGGGGAGCTGTCCTGGGGTGAAATCCCGTTTCCCACCAGTGCTGGCAGGCAGGATGGATGGGTCCCTCTAGAACTGTGCCCAGCCATGGGCTGGTGTCACAGCTGCAGCCCCAGGTGGGCATGGAGCTCCCAGCCTGCCCATTCCCACAGGAGCTGTGGGAGGAGGAGAACTCCTGGCAGTGATTTCCCTGACTGCACAATCCCTGCCAGGGATCCAGGCTTCCCTGAGGGAATTCCCAGCTTTCCCAGCTCAGGGTGCCCTGGAGGGCTGGGCCTGGTGCCTTTTGCCTCTCCCAGCAGCTGCTTCAGCCTTTTCCTCCTGGAACATGGACTGGCTAAGCTTGGAGCTGTGTCTTTGGGGGAAATTCTTCTGGAAATCCCTTTGTTATCCCGAATTTCCAGCCCTGCGCACTGGTCTGATCCCCAGGGTGGGCAGAAGGAGAGGTGAGACCCCACTGCAGAGCTGCCCCAGATCCACCAGCACAAGAAGCTGGAGCTGCTGCAGAGACCCAGAAGAGGCCCCAGAGCTGCTGCAGGGCTGGAGCCCCTCTGCTCTCTGCTCTCTGGGATAAAGTGGATTTGGGAGTGTCTGTGCTGTGGGATGCAGGGAGGTCGGGAATTGGGGTGGAGGAATTCCACTGTCCCAGGTGCTCCCAGCCCCGTGCAGCCTGGCTGGGCACTGCCAGGGACCCAGGGGCAGCCCCAGCTGCCCTGGGCAGGAAGAGGCTGTGCATTCCATGGCCTCAGAGGGCTGTGGCATCTCTGGGATTGGCAAAGCCTCCAGGAGCAGCACCTGGGATCCAGCTGGGTGTTGGAACAGAGCAACTCTGAGCTTGGGAGAGGAACCAGGGCTCAGCCTCCCTTGGCTCGGGGATGTTCCCCCCTGGGTGTGTGACAGCAGGACTGGGGGTGTTTCCATGGATCTGGGGGCACGGGAGGCAGGCTGGGAGCGGGGCCTGGGCTCGTGCCCCGCCGTGGGTCCCTCCCCAGCCCAGTCTGTCACGTGGCACAGAGGAAACCACGGCGCTTCCTGGCCCCGAGCGCCTCCATTGCAGCACCCCAAAAGGAGGGGAGCCTTCCCTCAGTGCCTGCTGCCCCACAGCTCCCCCAGAGCTCCCCACAGCCCCCCAGCACGGCTCCTGCTCCCCGGGGGGACTCCATGGAGGACGAGGTGGGTGCTGGCCTTTGGGGGCCCCGGGAGCAGGAGCTGCTCCAGGCTGCGTCACAGCCAAGCTGCCCTGAGCTGCCTCTACCTGGGGTTTGGGGTGCCCATTCCTGCCAGGACAGCCAGGGGGGCACGGGATGCTCCCAGCCCGAGGGCTGCAGCCACGTCCTGGAGGGAAAAGGGGTTTCTGTGGGCTGGGGTGGGCCTGGATCCTGCCTGGTGAAAGGGGAAGTGTTGGGTACGGCCTCGGTCCCGGTGGCACGGCCCTGCTTTGCTCTGCTTTGGATCCCTGCAGGATTCCCAAAGGATTCCTGAAGGATTCCCAAGGAACTGCATCCTCAGGCACTGGCAGGCAGGATTTCAGATGGGACACCCCAAAGCTGGGGAGTCCCCAAGTCTCAGTTCTTGGTACACTGACCTGTTGTGTCCAGCAGTGCCTTGTCTCCAGAGCCCCAGCTCCTTGGCAGGATGGTGGAATGTCCTGGGTGCTCTGTGCAGGGATGCTTCCCAAAATTCCACCCTGCTGCTCCTGAGGCAGGGCTGGGGAGCTGTTTCCTCTCTGTCCTGTAAGATCCCTTCATTTCTGTCTCCCTCATCCAGGGGACGCTTTTCCAGTCCAGGCTGTCCCCAATGTCCTTGTGAGCTGGTAATTCCCATTGTCCCAGGAGCTTTTCCTTGGGTTATAATTAATTAATGAACCCACCACTGGAAGCATGTTCTCTGCCCCTTCAGGTCCCACATTCCTTCCCTTGCCCCTGCGGATCAGGAAGGCCAGGATGTGGTTGCAGAAGCCACCAGGGAATGGGACATTGGAGCCACATGTCCAAGGAGTTCCTAGATCCAGCCATGGATCTGTCTGCTCCACACACCCCCTTCCCCTGGGAGAGCTGGAATTGGAGCAGTTTGGGGATGTTCCCAATCATTTATCTGGTGTGGAGCTTGGTGAGATCCACGTGGCATTCCCATGACGAAGGACAGCTGTGTGTTGGCTCCAGTGGTTTTCCAAACTTTGCACTACAGGGTTTGGAATTTCCCATTTTTCCCAGGGAAATCCACTTTCTGGGTCATTTTCTCATTGTTTGGGGTCTCCTTGGAACGTCCCTGCCTGTTTCTTTGGCATTCCTTGTTGAGTTGCACCATCAGATCCTCAGGGAGGTACAAAGCCATGGAGAATCCCTCTGGATCCACTGTTCACCTGGAATATATTGTTGTATGCAAGAGTTGGATTTCTCTTACCTGGAAGGTTGAGTATGGTGACTTTGGGGGAAAACCACCATATTTTGGTAATGGGAACATTCAACACTGGCTTTGTGTCCCAGGAAAAGGGTTTTCTCTGGAAATCCATGGATGTACAGCTCCAGAGCGGGCATTGTCTGTGGGGCATTTGACATGGAATATATTGTTGTATATAAGAGATGTGTTTCTCTTACCTGCAAGGTTGAACACAGTGGCTTTGGGGGAAACGACCATATTTTGGCAGTGGGAACGTTCATCACTTGTGCTGTGTCCCAGGAAAAGGGTTTTCTCTGGAAATCCATGAATGTATAGCTCCAAACCGAGCACTGTCCATGGGGCAAAAGCAGCAGGGTGGGATCGAGGGTTGCCAGGCAGGAGGGGCTGTGGGACCCCCAGTGCCAGTGCCAGCCCCTGCTGACCCCACTGCTGTTGGTGTCCCCAGCCTGGCATCGTGTCCCCGTTCAAGCGCGTGTTCCTGAAGGGCGAGAAGGGCCGGGACAAGAAGGCCCAGGAGAAGGTGACGGAGCGGCGCCCGCTGCACACCGTGCTGGTGGCACCGCCCGACCGCGTGGAGCCCGACCTGCTGCTCCACGACTACATCGAGAAGGAGGTCAAGGTACCCCGGGGGCTGCTCCTGGGAGCCCTTCCTGATACCCAGCTGGCACTGGGAACCCACTGCCCATTTCAAACCCATGTCCCAAACCCATGCATCCATCTCCCAAACCCATCCATCCATCTCCCAAACCCATCCATCCATCCATCTCCCAAACCCATCCATCCATCCATCCATCCATCCATCCATCTATCTCCCAAACCCATCCATCCATCCATCCATCTCCCAAACCCATCCATCCATCCATCTCCCAAACCCATCCATCCATCCATCCATCTATCCATCTATCTCCCAAACCCATCCATCCATCTCCCAAACCCATCCATCCATCCATCTATCTCCCAAAGCCAAAACCCTAACCCAAAACCCAACTAACCCTGTTCCTGTCCCGGGTTTTCCTTGGAGCGTCTCCATGGCTCATTCTGCCGTGTCCAGGTTGGTGTCCATGCTGTGGTAATGGTTTGGCTGTTCTCTCCCAGTATTTAGGGCAGCTCACGTCCATCCCGGGGTACCTGAACCCCTCGAGCCGCACGGAGATCCTGCACTTGATCGACAACGCCAAGGTGAGCGCTCAGCTGCTCTGTGCTCCCCACAGCAGGCACAGACCCAGGCTCACAGGGGCTCCTCAGCCCTGGGCCAGCTGCTGCTCCCAAAGGGGAAACACCCTGGGATGCATTTCCCAGAGGAGCTGTGGCCCCATCCCTGGAGGTGTTCCAGCCAGGCTGGATGGGGAGCAGCCTGGGACAGTGGAATGGAGCTGGATAATCCTTCAGCTCCCTCCAGGCCCAGCCCTTCCATGACTAAACCCCTGTGAATCCTGGTGTTGCAGAGAGCCCACCAGCTCCCAGGGCAGCTGACCCCAGAGCATGATGCTGTCATCAGCCTCTCTGCCTACAACATCAAGCTGGTGTGGAGGGACGGGGAGGACCTGATCCTCAGGGTGCCCATCCACGACATCGCCTCCGTCTCCTACATCCGGGACGACTCCGCACACCTGGTGGTGCTCAAGACAGGTGAGCTGTGCCCATGGGGCTGGGATTGTCCCCTGGGAGCCACCTGGGACAGTGGGAGATGTCCCTGCCCGTGGCAGGGGGTGGAGCTGGAGGGGCTTCAAGGTCTCTCCAGCCCAGAGCATCCCATGAGGGTTCTGTGACACCTGGATCCCTGTCCTGTGCATGTCACACCTGCATGGTTTGGGGAGCTGGGGAGTGTGGGGAGCCCCCTAAACCAACTGCAGCAGGGGAGGGCTGAGCCAGGGATTTATCTGAGTACAAACCTCATGGAGAGACCGTGGAATAAAGGAATAAACACCTCAGGGGCTGGAAATCCAGTGATGGAATTCTGAGCTGTGAAAACAGCTGGACACCTGTCAAACCCATCTCCAAACTGGAGGCTTTTCATCCCATTCTCCTGCTTCGGGGCCCTTCCTCACCTGCAGGACTCCTTCCCACCCCCTCCCTGGCCTCACCCGTGCTCTCCCCTCAGCTCAGGATCCCGGCATCTCGCCCAGCCAGAGCCTGTGTGCCGAGGGCTCCAAGGCGCTGACGTCGGGCTCGCTGTCGGAGAGCGCAGGGGGGCCCCTGGAGTGCTGCTGCCTGGTGGTGCTGGCCACAGAGAACAAGGTAGGGCTGGCTCTCACTGCTCCATGGAGCCCTGGGAGCACCCAGCCTGGGCTCAGGGTCACTGGGATTGCTGGGAGGTTCTGGCTCTCGGGTCATGGTGGTGATGGTGGAGCCGCAAAATCACAGTGGCCAAGTCCTGCTGTGTGTCAGGATCCTTCTCTGCTCTCACACCTCGTGGGACACAGATTTAGGGATGCCAGGTGTGTTTGGGCATTGCTGGAGCACTTGCAGAAGGACTCCTGATCCCTGTGCCAGCTCTGGGACACAGGAGGGTCTCCAGAAGCATTTCCCTTGTCCCTGTCATCCAGAGCCTTCTGCAGCAGCCCAGAATCCCTGAGGACAATCCCACAATGGGGATTTGCTGATCGGGGTGTTTTCCCTGTGCTGACCTGGGAATTTGTTTCATCCAGTGTCCGCATCCAGGGATTCCAGTCTCAGCCTCTCTGGTCTGCACTGAGGGTGGAGCTTCACTGCCCTCATTCCCCACTCTGGCATTCCTCTGGGATGAGCCAAAATCCCAGGGAGCTGCATGGGGGAGCCTCAGCACAGAATTTGGGGGCTCCAGGGTTGATGCTGGAGCATCCCAGCTCCTGCTGCTGGGTGGGAGAGGGTGGGGATGCTGGGAGGATGATGGATGTGGGCTCTGTGCCCTCCCTGTCCTCATGGCGGCCCAGCACCCATCCCACAGAGCCAGAGGGAGAGGGGATGTCCCTGCCTGGGCTCTGCCACAGCTCCCTGCTGTTCCCAGGTGGGTGCTGAGGAGCTGTGCTCCCTGCTCAGCCAAGTCTTCCAGATCGTTTACACCGAGTCCACCATCGACTTCCTGGACCGCGCCATCTTCGACGGGGCCTCGACACCGACCCGGCACCTGTCCCTGCACAGCGGTGCGTGTGCCCTGGCTGGGGTGCTCCTGCCCCCCAGCACCTCCCTGGGGTCACACAGAGTCACAGCTGGGAGGGACTGGGGCTGGGAGAGCCTCAGGAGCCCCCAGCACCTCCCCAGGGCCACACACAGCCACAGCCAGGAGTGGTTGAGATTGGAAAAGCCTCAGGAACCCCCAAGCCCACCCAGCCCTGCCAAGGCCACCACTGCCCATGTCCCCACGTGCCACATCCACAGGGTGGGGACTCCCCCCCTCCCTGGGCATCCTGTTTCAGTGCCTGACCACCCTTCCCATGCAGGAATCTTCCTGAGATCCACCCTGAACCTCCCCCGGCACAACCTGAGGCCATTTGCTCTTACCTGGTCACTCATTCCTGGCCTCCTCCCCTCCAGCCACGTCAGGAATCACTTTGTGTCTCTCCTGGCTTGGGAAAACAGTGAGTTCATGCCTCTCACACTCCATCTCCCACATTTTCCCCTGCAGATGACTCTTCCACCAAGGTGGACGTGAAGGAGCCCTTCGAGGCGGATGCCAGCACTTTGTGAGTGATCCCTGGCCCCTGGAGCTGGGATTAACCCTGATCTGCTGCCCTCAGCACACCGGGGAGCTCAGCTGAGCCTGGCCAGGCCTGGGGGGTTGGCACGACTCCTGGCCAGGCTGGATTGTTCTGCCCTCAGCATTCCAGGAGTCACATCCCTGTGTCAGCACGGTGCAGGGCCAGCAGCTGCAGCTGGGAGCAGGGTTTTCCCCAAAACTGGTTATTTGGGAGACTTCTCCCTCCTGGAAACATGAGCACTGTTTGTGGGATGAAATCCTCACACACAAACCAGTGGTTAACATTGAGGGATGCTCCAGGAATGTTTAACATGGAGGAATTGGGAACCTCATTGAAAATTGCACATTTAAGTCCAAGATAGGGAGCATGGGGATTTTTCCCTGTATTCCCAGGAATGAAGCAGCCAGACGGATAATTCCCCACAGAGGGCTTTGCTGTCACTGTCACCAAAGCAGCATTCAGTTCCCTGGGAGCCTTGGGGTGCCCTCAGGAGCAGGGGGCTCCCAGAATCACAGAATAACCTGGGCTGGGAGGCACCCCAAGGGTCCTGGCCCGGCCCAGCCCCCCAGCAGCGCCTGCCCAGGGGTCCCTGGAGAGCTGACCCTGCTGCTGGGTGTCAGTTCCTTTGCAGACACGCTGGAAGCGGGGGACACGTCCCCGTCCCCGCACGTCACCACGGCCAGCGAGAGCGAGCTCAGCACCACGGCCACCGAGCTGCTCCAGGACTACATGATGACGGTGGGAGCTGGGACTGGGCTCTGGGATTGCGGTTTGGGATCAGGCCTGGGGGAGCAGCTCGTCCTCGTCCTCCCCAGCCAGGCTGGGCTTGGAGGGCCTGGTCCTGGGCTCGTGTCATGGAACCATGGGATGGTTTGGGGGGAAAGGGGCTGTGAGGATGATCCCATCCCATCCTGCCGTGGCAGGGACACCTTCCACTAGCCCAGGCTGCTCCAAGCCCCATCCAACCCAGCCTGGGGCACTTCCATGGGTGGGGCAGCCACAGCTTCCCTGGGAAATCATTCCAGTCCCTCACTACCCTCCCAGCCAAGAATTTCATCCCAGTATCCAATTGAAATTGCCACTTTTTCAGTGGGAGCCATTCCCTGTGTCCTGTCCCTCCATGCCTTGTCCCCAGTCCCTCTCCAGCTCTCCTGGAGCCCCTCCAGGCCCTGCCAGGGGCTCTGAGCTGTCCCTGGAGCTTCTCTCCAGGGGAACATTCCCAGCTCTCCAGCCTGGCTCCAGAGCAGAGGGGCTCCAGGGCCTCCTCTGGACTCTGCTACTGTGGGAGAAGCATTTTCCCCTCACCCTTTTCCCTTTCCCAGCATCCAAGTCCCCTCATGCCCCAAGGCTCCAGGAACCCCAGTGACCCCAGAGACCAGCCCTGCTGTCCCCCAGGGTTCCTGTCCCTGCCCTGTCCCTGCCAGCCCCAGGCAGGTGCCAGAGGCCCGTGCTGTCCCCACAGCTGCGCACCAAGCTGTCCTCTCAGGAGATCCAGCAGTTTGCCATGCTGCTGCATGAGTACCGCAACGGCGCCTCCATCCACGAGTTCTGCATCAACCTCAAGCAGCTCTACGGGGACAGCAGGAAATTCCTGCTCCTGGGTGAGTGGGGGACGCCTCCAGGGCCAGGAGAACAGGGCTGAGCGTGCAGGGGGGCCTTGGGGTGCCACCACCATCCCAGTCCATCTCCTGGGGGTCAGGGTGCCCTCAGGAGCTGGGGGCTTCCAGAATCACGGACTGTCCTGGCTTGGGAGGCACCCCAAGGATCAGGGCCCAGCTCCAACCCTGCACAAGCCCCCCAGAAATGCCAGCAGCACCTCCCCAGGCACCCCAAGGAGCCATGGAGAGCTCACCTGTGCATTCCTCATGAGGGCAGCTGGGCCATCCAGCCCAGCTCATCCCACAGCTCCAGGCTCTCCTCAGAGCTCTTCCCTGCTCACACCTGCCTGTCAAGCACCTGGGAACCTCCTCCCGATCCAGGCACCCCAACCCAGACCTGGGAACCTCCTCCCGATCCAGGCACCCCAACCCAGACCTGGGAACCTCCTCCCGATCCAGGCACCCCAACCCAGACCTGGGAACCTCCCCCAGATCCAGGCACCCCAACCCAGACCTGGGAACCTCCTCCCGATCCAGGCACCCCAACCCAGACCTGGGAACCTCCTCCCGATCCAGGCACCCCAGTCCAGACCTGGGAATTTAATTCAGACCTGAAAATCTCAGGCCAGGAGACCTCCTCTCCAGAGCAGGGATATTTAAACAACCTGGCCTCTGATATCCTTGGAAAACAGGTCAGGAACACAGAATGCTCCCAGGACAGGAGCAGCGTCTGACCACACCTGGGGCCTCTCACCTGGCCAAGGAAAAGGGAGTCTGGAATTTAAAATTAGCAGAACAGGACTAGTGGGTCCCCCTCACCCCTGGGGACAGTGAGGGGACAGAACAGACGTCCCTGATGGGACAAATCATTGGGATAAGCCCAGCAAAGCCCAGCAGGATGGCGGGTGAGGAATTAGACGGTTTGGAGCTCAGAAAACACCATGTTAGCCGGATTTTGCCCTCGGTGAGCAGTGCCTGCAGTCCCAGGTGTCACTGAATGGGGCACCCTGGGGGTCCCTGTCCCTCCCAGGGGCTCAGGAACGGTCCGGGTGAGGAGCCCCAGCACTCACCTGCCGTGTCCCTGCCGCGTCCCCAGGCCTGCGGCCCTTCATCCCCGAGAAGGACAGCCAGCACTTCGAGAACTTCCTGGAGACCATCGGCGTCAAGGACGGCCGCGGCATCATCACCGACAGCTTCGGGCGCTACCGCCGCTCGCTGGGCCCCGCCGCCGCCTCCAACGGCACCGCCGCCGGCAGCTCCGACGAGCAGTCCGTGCCCTCCGAGGAGGACGAGTGGGACAGGATGATCTCCCACATCAGCAGCGACATCGAGGCCCTGGGCTGCAGCCTGGACCGGGACTCGAACTGAGGCGGCCCCGGAGCTGCTCCCGCGGGGCACAGTCACCCCCGGGGGGACCGGGGACACAGGGACACCCCTGAGGGGGGACCAGGGACATCCCCTGGGACACAGAGACACCCCTGAGGGGGGACAGGAGCTGCCCTCGGGGGGACCCGGGACACAGAGACACCCATGATGGGCAACAGAGACACCCCCGGGGGGGACCTGGGGCTGCCCCCTGTGGGGACATGGCATGTGGAGCTGATCCCAAGGTGATCCTGGGACATGGAGCTGCCCTTGGAGGGGACATGGGATATGGATCTGCCCCAGGGGGACCCTGGAGCTGCCCCTGGAGGGACCCCAGGACAGGGAGCTGCCCTCGGGGGGATCCGGGACACGGAGCTGCCCCTGGAGCTGCCCTCAGAGGGGACATGGAACACGGATCTGCCCCAGGGGGACTCTGGAGCTGCCCCTGGAGGGACCCAAGAACACCAACCTGGGCCCTGAAGATGCTGGAAGATGGAGCAGCCCTTGGAGGGAGCCCAGACCCCTCCTGTGGGGGTCCCACGGGTGTCTGCAGTGCCCCAGCCCCCTGAACAGCTCCAGGGGCTCCAGCTGGCACAGAGCTGGATTGGGGTTTTGGGGGCAGGTCTCCTCCCAGAGGGACAGATCTGCTTCTGAGGGATGTGCTGAGGGTTGGGTCTGTTCCCAGGGGGCTGGGTCTGCTCCCCCTCCCCAGTTTACAGTTTGCACAGCGGCTCCCCCAGAAGTGCCCCCCCCGAATGAAGTTTTACCACAATGTGAATTCTTTCACCCTCTCATCCATGGTACTGGAACATTCCTGAGCATGGCAGCTGCCCCAGACTGGGATTGCCCCCAGTCACTGCCCCCTCCTCACCCACCCCGGGGTCCTGCTGGGGAGAGGAGCTCGGTGGGACCCCAGAGCCCCCTTGGTGTGCATCCCCTGGTTGTGGGGGGGTCCCAGCTGGGCCTGGGAGGGGCCGTTGCCCCACAGCCACGCCCAGGGGCTCTGGCTCCTCCCCCTCTGGGGCCACACGCTGACTCAGCACTTTGGGAATCCAGAACATTCCAGAGGCCTCGGCCCCAAATGCCCCCACACCCAGTTCTGCCCCCATCACCCTGCCCACACTGGGGTGTCCCCCACACCGTTACCCCACTGGTGACCCCCCCACATTTCCCAGGGTACCCCAACCCCCCCTCCCTCTGGAATTCAGGTGTCCCGGGAGCTGAGGCACCTCCAGGGACTCACCTGGGGCACACAAAGCATCCCCTCCTGCACCTTTCCCCTCCCAACAGCCAGAAAATGGAGAGCAGGGGAGGGGCCCTGGGACCCCTGGGATTTGGGGAGCAAGGGTTCCCTCCCTCCCCAGCCTCCCTTGGGGCTCAGGGGCCTCATTGCCATGCCCCAGATCCGGAGGGGAAGGGTTATCCCTGATCCCCAAGGGGTGCAGGACCTGTCCCACCTCCCCATCATCCCAGTTCCACCCCCAGGCACTGCCCCCCAATCCCACTGCTGGCAAAGGGACCCCCAAGCCCCCAGGATCAGGCCTGGGATGATCCCCAAGGATGCTGGGAGCACCCTGGGGTGCAGAACCTGTCCCTTCCACCTCCCCATCCCAGTTACAGCCCCAGCACTGCCCCCCCCGAGCCCCCCCAAACGAGGCCTGGGAGGCTCGGTGCGATCCAAGGGGTGCAGGAGGCCTTTATTGAGCAGTCCAGGGGCCAGGAGGAGGATGGGGGGCGGGAGGAAGGGTCTGGGGGGGCTCTGTGCATCTCTACAGGGGGCCAGGACACCCCCGGCTGCTACATGGTCAGTTCCTGTGGGAGAGAGCAGAGGCAGGAATACCGGGGTCACCCCAAATTCCTGATGGGAATAGGGGGGGTCACAGCCCCAGTTCCAATTCCCATGGGAAAAGGGGGTCACCCCCAATTCCTGCTGGGAATAGGGGGTCACAGGCCCAATCCCAATTCCCCCTGGGAAAACGGGAGGTCACAGCCCCAATCCCACTGGGACAAGGGAGGAGGATCAGCCCAAATCCCATTGGGAAAAGGGAAGGGGAGGTCTCAGCCCCAATTGCCCCAAGGAAAAGGGGAGTGACAGTCCCAATCCCACTTCCCCTGGGAATAGGGGGGGGTTACAGCCCCAATTCCTGCTGAGGAAAGGGGTCTCAGCCCCAATCCCCCTGGGAAAAGGTGGGGGGGATCAGCCCCAATTCCTCCCAGGAAAAGGGGGCGTCATGGCCTCAATTCCCCCTGGGAAAAGGGGAGAGGGGGTCTCAGCCCCAATTCCCCCTGGGAAAAGGGAGAGGGGGTCTCAGCCCCCCGCTCACCATGATGGCGTTGACGATGTCGTTGTTGTTGTGCCTCAGGGCTCTCACAGCCTTGGGCCGGGACACGTTGGCCTGGGCCATCACCAGCTCGATGTCCCGCACCTCCAGGCCTGTCTCGTCCACCTGGGGAGGGGGCACAGCGCTGTGAGACCCCCCGGGGCACACACAGAATGTGTGAATGCCACAGAGCCCCCTGCGCACCCCCCCAGGCCACACCATCACCTCAGCCATCCCCATGGTCACAGCACTGACCACGTCACCAGGGTCATAGCCCTGTCACCCCCCCGGCACCCCCGGGGGTCTCAGAGCCCCCCACTCACCTCCTCCTCCTCCTCGCTCTCCTCCTTGATGGCCAGGGCAGGAGCGGCGTCGGTCACCAGCGCCGAGTGCTCCAGGGGCACCTTGAACTTCTCGGCCGCCGCCTTGTGCACTTGCTGGGACAGGTCCTCGATCTGGGGGGGACACGGGGTCACCGGAGCCCCCCGAGCCAGGAACCCCCCTCCCCAGAGCCCCCCGAGCCCACCTTGGCCTCCCCAAAGACGATGTAGATGTCGGAGGCCGGGCTCTTGAACACGTCGGGCTTGGAGATGACGAACAGGATGTTCTTGGACTTGCGGATGGTGATGCGGGTGACGCCGTGGATCTGCCGCAGCCCCAGCTTGGACATGGCCTGGGGGGGCACCGAGTGAGCCCCCGCAGCGCCGGGGGAGGCACAGCCCCCCGCGGCACCCCAAATCCCCGGGGGAACGGAGCCAGACACGGGGGACGCTGTCCCTCAGCACGGGCAGGATGGGACCCCCAACCCACGGTGGGGACCCCCCGAGTCCCACCCCGGAGTGAGGATCTGCCCCTCCCCGGCCTGGCCCCCTCCCCAAACCCGGGATGGGACCCCCCCAGCCCAGAGGGGCACCCCCAGCCCCAGGGCCCCCCCACCTTTCGGGCCTTCTTCTCGCTGCGGCTCTGCTTGGCTTTGCTGAGCGGCTCCTCCCCGGGCCCGAGGCCGTGGCCGAGGGGCACCTGCGACACGGGACGGGGGTCAGCGGTATCCCCACACCCGAGGGTCCCCAGCACCCCCCAAACCCCCCGAGCGCACCTGGGGCTGGGCCGGGGGCAGCTCCGAGCCCTCGGGCTCCTCCAGCTCCGGGACGGACTCATCGTTGCTCTCGGACTCGTTCCCGGACCCTGCACAGATTGGGGGTGGGGGGGTGTGAGAGGGGCTCCCGGGCCCCCCAAAGGCGGGGGCACCCCCGGGACCCCCCCTCACCTCGGTGGTTGGGCTGGCAGCGCTGGGGGGCCGGGGGGGGCCGGGGGGGCTCAGCCTCGCTGGACGAGCTCGACTCGGACTGCAGAGACCCCCGGGGGGGCGCCCGGGCCGCCCCCGCCCCCGCGACCCCCGCCCGGCCCCGGGGCTCCGGCTCCTTCTGCGGGGGGTTCTGGGGGGCTGGGGGGCACAGGGGCTGAGCTGGGGGGGCCAGAACCCCTCTGGGGCTCCGCTCTGCCTGCTCACCCCCACTGCCCACCCGGGACCCCCCAAAGGCACCCCCAGAACCCCTCTGGGGGCTCACCCCCACTGCCCACCCGGGACCCCCCAAAGGCACCCCCAGAACCCCTCTGGGGGCTCACCCCCACTGCCCACCCTGGGACCCCCCAAGGCACCCCCAGAACCCACCCTGGGGCTCAGCTCTGCCTGCTCACCCCCACTGCCCACCCGGACCCCCCCAAAGGCACCCCCAGCCCCCCACCCTGGCCCCAACGCCCCATGGCAAGGGGGGGCTGAGCTGGTGGTACCCCCAAACCCCCCCGTGGGGCTGCACCCAGGGACCCCCCCCAAGTCCCCCCCACCCCAGCCCCACAGCCAGGGGGGTTTTGGGGAGGGGTCTCTTACCTTCGAGGTGCTTCCTGGAGAGGGGCAGCCCCGGGGGGGGCTCCTGGCCGGGGGGGGCCCTGGGGGGAGGCACTTGGCTGAGTTTGGGGGGCGCAGGGCGGGGGGGCTCAGGGGGCGGCCCCGCAGCGGGGAGGGGGCCGGGGGCGACCCCCCCCACGGCCTCCTCCTCCTGCTGCTGCTCGGGGGGGCCCGCGGGGGGGCTCGGGGGGCCTTTGGCATCGGTGTCCCCCGCGGCGGGGCCGGGGGGCGCGGGGGGCGGCACCCCCGGGGGCGGGGCGGGGACCCCCGGGCCGGCCCCGCGCCCCGAAAAGGCACCGGGTGGTGGCAGCGGCTCGGGGGGCGCCGGGGGGGCCCCCACGAACACCTCCCGCTCCGAGGCCGTGAACTGCGGCGAGGGGGGCGCGGGGGCCGCGTCCTCATCCTCATCTTCATCCTCCGCTTCCTCCTCTTCCTCCTCCTCGGGCTCCGAGAGCCTCGGCACGGCCGCTCCCCCCGCGGGGACGGTGACAGAGCCGGGGCCGGTGCGGGACGAACCCTCGGCAGGGGCGGCGGCCGCGTCCCCCCGCTCCTCAGGGGGCTGCGACAGCGGCGCCCGTGCCAGGGGACACGCGGGGACAGCGGGGCGCTCCCGGGCTGCCAGCGCCACGGGGGACACGGCCCGGGCAGGGGGACACGGGGCACGGACAGCGCCCGGGGGGCTGGGGGTCACCGGGGTGGTGGCCACGGCATCCATCGGGCTGGGGGTCACGGTGTCCCTCGGGTCGGGGGTCACTGCAGCAGAGGTCATGGTGTCCTTCAGGTCAGGGGCCACGGTGTCCTTCAGGGCGGGGGTCACTGCAGCAGAGGTCATGATGTCCTTCAGGTCAGGGGTCACTGCAGCAGAGGTCATGATGTCCTTCAGGTCAGGGGTCACGTTGTCCTTCAGGGCGGGGGTCACTGCAGCAGGGGTCATGGCATCCCTCGGGTCAGGGGTCACTGCAGCAGGGGCCACGGTGTCCTTCAGGTCAGGGGTCACTGCAGCAGGGGTCACGTTGTCCTTCAGGTCGGGGGTCACTGCAGCAGAGGTCATGATGTCCTTCAGGTCGGGGGTCACTGCAGCAGAGGTCATGATGTCCTTCAGGTCAGGGGTCACGTTGTCCTTCAGGTCGGGGGTCACTGCAGCAGAGGTCATGATGTCCTTCAGGTCGGGGGTCACGGTGTCCTTCAGGTCGGGGGTCACGGTGGCCGTTTCATCCTGGGGGCTCGGTGTCACCAATGTCACCGTCTCGGTGTCCATGGTGTCCATCATGCTTGGGGTCACCGGGGCAGCGTCCGTGGTGGCCATCGGGGCAGGTGTCACCGATGTCACCAGGCTGGTGGCCACAGTGCTACTCTCATCCATGGGGAGTGGTGTCACCGATGTCACCAGGTCATTGGCTGCAGCATTACTCTCATCCATGGGGGGCGATGTCACCGGGCTGGTGGCCACAGTGGCCATCAGGGCGGGTGTCACTGGTGTCACCAAGTCAGCGGGCACAGCATCCTTCAGGGTGGGTGTCACTGGTGTCACCAGGACAGCGTCCACAGCTTCCATCTTGTCCAGCGGGCTGGGTGTCACCTCTGTCACCAGGTCAGTGGCCGTGATGTCCAGCTCACGTGGTGGGCTGGGTGTCACTGGTGTCACCAGCCTGGTGGCTGCAGTATCGGGCTCATCTAGGGGGCTGGCTGTCACCAGTGGGGTTGGTGTCACCAGGTCCATGGCCATGGTATCCTCCAGCTCATGTGGTGTTCTGGGTGTCACTGGCGTCACCAGGCTGGTGGCCACACTGTCTGGCTCATCTGGAGGGCTGGCTGTCACTGGTGTCACCAAGCTGGTGGCCACGGTGTCTGGCTCATCTGGCGGGCTTGGTGTCACCAATGCCACTCCATCAGGGGCTGCAGCATCCAACGGGCTGGGTGCCACCAGGCTGGTGGCTGTGCTGTCCATCAGGCTGGCTGTCACCTCATCAGCATCTGCAGTGTCCAGCGGGGTTGGTGTCCCTGGTGTCACCACATCGGTGGCCACAGTGTCCTGCTCGTCAGGTGGGCTGGGTGTCACCGGGCTGGGGGCTGTGCTGTCCATCAGGCTGGCTGTCACCACATCAGCATCTGCAGTGTCCAATGGGATTGGTGTCCCCGGTGTCACCATGTCAGTGTCAGGCGGGCTGGGTGTCACCGGGCTGGGGGCTGCAGCATCCATCTCGTCCAGGGGGGTTGGTGTCACTGGTGCCACCAGGTCCGAGTCCACCAGGCTGGGTGTCACTGGTGCCACCAGGTCCGTGTCCACCGAGTCCACCAGGCTGGGTGTCACTGGTGCCACCAGGTCCGTGTCCACCGAGTCCATCAGGCTGGGTGTCACTGGTGCCACCACGTCATTGGCCACAGAGTCCATCTCATCCAGGGGGGTCGGTGTCACTGGTGCCACCATGTCACTGTCTGCAGCGTCCCTCTCATCCAGGGGGGTCGGTGTCACTGCTGTCCCCAGGGCAGTGGCTGCAGATCCTAGCTCGCTGTGGCCATCGGCGCTCCCCACCGTCCCCGTGCTGAGCTCGAGGTCGTTGTCACCATCGCTGTCACCGCCAGGCCCGTCCCCATTGGTGCCCCCCGGCTGGTGGCTCTGGGGGTCCCTGGCACAGAGCCCCGGGGCCGGGGGGACAGGGCCGGTCCCTGCCAGCTCCGGGCACGGTCCCAGCGCTGTTCCAGAACCTTCTGTGGCTGCCGCCGCCCCGGCCATGGGGACACAGGCGGTGACGGGGACACGGGCGTGGCCGTCCAGCCGCGCGTCCCCCGGGGGCGGCGCCGGGGCTGTCCCGGTGCTCGGGGACCCGGCCCGCAGGTGCAGCTCCACGCCGGGGGGCGCGGGGGAGCCCGGGGGGGTGCCCGGCGGTGTCCCCGCGTCCCCCGCGTGCCGCTCGCTGCCGTAGAGCCGCTCGTCCTCGTCCCCGTCGTAGGCGGCCGAGTCCGAGGAGGCGTCGGTGTCGTCGCGGAAGGCGAAGGCCTCGTCCCCGCCCTCGGGGATGGAGCTCTCGGACAGCGAGCGCAGGAAGGACGCCGAGGTGCTGCCTTCATCCTCCTCCTCCTCGGGGACGGCCCGGGGTGAGATCTCCACGGCCTCGGCCTGGAAGAGGAGACTGCCCCGGAACGGGAGCAGCGCCGCCGGGATCAGCCCCGAGCCCTCGTCCTCATCCTCCTCCTCCGGCGTCCGCCCGTCCTCATCATCCTCGTCATCCGCGCAGCCCGGCGGCGCGAAGGGCCCGTCCTCGTCATCATCGTCCTCCTCGTCGTCATCCTCCTCCTCGGGGGACAGCGGGGGGAAGGCCGGGGGGTCCCCCAGGCCGGGGGGCAGCCCCAGGGCCCCCCCCAGCCCTTCGGCCTCGGCCTCCCCCAGGCCCTCGGCCTCGGCCGCCAGGTTGGGGGAGCAGGACGGGGAGGTGCTGGCGGTGCCCGAGGAGCCCCAGCTGCCGCCCTCGGCCGTCATGTAAGAGCCCGAGGGGGACGTGGGGGGCGAGCAGAGCCCCTCGCTGTCCGCGTCCGCCGGCTCCTCGGGCGGGCCCGGCCGCGGCCCCCCCGCCCGCACCGGCGTCGAGGGCGCCGTGAAGAAGAGCTCGGGGTCGAGCGCGGGGGGGCGGCCCGGGGGCGGCTCCTTGGGGGGCGCGGGGAAGGGGCAGGGCCCGGGGGGCGCGGCCCGCGGCTCGGGCGGCGCGCTGCGCGTCTCCTCGCCCATCACGATGCGCGCGTCCAGCGGCTCCGCGGGCGGGGGGCGGCACGGAGAGCCGGGGGGGGCGGCGGCGGCGGCGCCGGGCTCACAGCTGGCCCCCTCGGGCGGGGGGCGAGCCTCCTCCTTGGCCGGCATCGGCGGGGGCGCTGCGGAGAGAGGGGACAGCCCTGAGTGCCAGAGCCCCCACAGGGTCATCATAGACAGAGGGGACAGCCCTGAGTGCCGCAGTGTCACCGTAGAGAGAGGGGACGCCCCTAAGTGCCACAGCCCCCCCGGGTCATCGTCCTGTGACGGTGGAAGGGGGGACACCCGGGGCAGTGCCCTGGCTGGGGGCTGGTGTCACCCCACCCATGCAGGGCTGGGAGAACAGGTGAGCCCCATCCGGAGCACCTGCGGAGGGTCCCGGGAGGTCTGGGGGCACTGGGGGGGGGGGGGGGGGGCACAGTTCCAGCCCCCCGTCCCCAAACCCCTGTCTGTGGGGGCCACGCGGTTACACCAGGGCGGGACCCCAATCCAGACCCCTCCATGGGGTGGAGGGCAGAGGGCACATCCCCCCTATCCCCCCTCACAGCCCCTCCCCAGGCGCCCCATGCCCACACCCCGCGCTCAGTTCGGGGGTGCTCAGCCCCCCCGTGCCCAGCCCGACCCCAAACAGCCCCCCGAGCCCCCCCAGCATCACCTGAGGCCCCCGGGCACGGCTCCATGGCTCGGGCGGGCGCGTTCGGAGCCGCGGTCGCCCCCGGCCCCTCCTGCAGCGCCGACCCCGCGCCCCCCGGGCGTTATAAAGGGGTGGGGGGGGGGGCGGGGGGGGGCGGGGCGGCGCGCGGGGAGCCGGGAGGGGGCGGGGCCTGGCGGGGATTTGCGGGGCAGGTGCCGCTGATTCCCCCCCCCCATCAGTCTGCAATGGTTCAGTCCGGCACAACCCCCCCGCCACGTGCTGGGGACCCCCCAAAGGCTCATTGGGGGGGGTTCCTGCCCCCGTCACCCCCCGGGGCCGTTCTGGGGTGACTCTGCCCTGTAGTGGGGGGGGGGGGGGTGCGGGACCCCGTTAATTCAGCCCGACCGTGGCCCCCCCCACCTCGGGGGCTGTTTTGGGGTCCCCCGGCACACCCTGACCACCCCCCCCGCACAAACCGGACCCTCGCCTCTTTATTGGGGACCCCCAGCCCCAGCCCTGGGGGGCGCAGGGTGACCCTGGGGTGTGTCCCCTCCCTGTCCCCGCTGTCGCCAGCCCCGCAGGAGGTGCGGGTGACCCTGGCGGTGCTCCCGGTGTCCCCAGCCCCCCCCGCGCGTGACAGTGGCCCGGGGGACAGCGCTGTGCGGTGACCTTGGGCCGTGCCTCAGTTTCCCACCCTGGGGGTGGCGGGCCGAGGCTCAGCCCCCCAGCCCCAGCAGCACCTCCCGGTCCGGTACGGGGGGGCACAACCCGCTGCCGACCCCCGCCACGTTCCGGGGTTCAGCGTGGTGACCCCGCAGCCCCCCAGGTCCCCAAAGTGCCCGTGCCCCGCCGGGGGGACCGGGCCGGAGCCCCCCGGTACCGCCAGGCCCGAGCCCAGGCGGCGGCGGCTGCCGAGAGCCCCGGCCGGGCCGGGTCCGACCGCTCCATCCTCATCCTCATCCTCATCCTCATCCTCATCCTCATCCTCATCCTCATCCCCCCGCTCCATCCTCATCCTCCGGCTCCGTCATTCCCGCCCTGCCCCTCATTTCCCCGCTCCATCCTCATCCTCGGGCTCTGTCCTTCATCCCCCGGCTCCATCCTCATCCTCTAGCTCCACCATTGCACCTCTGTCCTTCATCCCCCACCTCGACCCACCTTTCCCTCCGCTCCATCCTCATCCTCCCAGCCCGCAGCCCTCCCCGCTCCGTCCTTCATCCCCTGCTCCATCCTCATCCCTCCATGGCTCCCGCTCTTCCTTTCATCTCTCCATCTCCACCCTGGCGGCTCCGGCTGCCTCCTCCCTGCTCCGTCCTTCATCCCACCGGCTCCATCCTCCTGTTCCATCCTCATCCTCCGGCTCCGTCCTTTCCGCTCCGTCCTTCATCCTTCCGGCTCCGTCCTTCATCCCGCCGCTCCATCATCCTCGCCCCGCTCCATCCCGTCCTTCCTCTCCCTGCTCGCCCTCTCTCCGCCCGGGCCTCACCTGCCTCCGCTCCCTCCGGCATGGCGCTCTGGCTCTCGGCCGCGCCCCCCCCGGCTCCCGGGCGCTCTCCGGGCTCGGCGCCGCGCCCCGGGCCGGCCCGCCCCGCTCCCCCCGCTCCGGCTGCGGCGGCGGCGCGGGAGCATCGGCGGGGCTGCGGCGGGGGCGGGGGCCCCGGCCCGGCTGATGTCAGCGGGAGCCGCGTCCCGCCCGGCCCCGCTCTGTCGCGATAGAGGCTCCGTGCCCGGGGGCGGGGGAGGGGGCGCGGGCCCACCCAGCGCTTGCATCAGCTCCGGGGGGGGGAGGGAGGGCGGGGCCCGGCCTCAGTTTCCCCCACTTTGTCTCCTCAGAAAGGGGGATGAGCATCCCGGGGGGGGGACACAGGGCGGGGCCCCCCAAAGCGGCTGCGCGGGCCTGGTGGCACCGGGGGGGACAGGAGGGAGCCGCGTGTCCCCCCCGTGTCCCCCCCGTGTCCCCCCGTGCCCCCCCGTGGCCCCGAGCACCGCGATCAGCGCGGGCATTGTCTCCCGGGCCGGCCGTGCCCGCGCCGCCGGTGCCAGGCACGGCCCCGGGCGGTGACTCAGCAGCCGCTCCCGCCCGCCGGGTCCCCCCCGGTCACCGTGTGTGTCCCCTCTGTCACCGTGTGTCCCCCGGTCATCGTGCGTCCCCCCCTGTCACCGTGTGTGTCCCCTGTGTCACCGTGTCCTCTGTGTCACCGTGTGTGTCCCCTGTGTCACTGTGTGCCCCCTCTGTCCCCGTGTGTCCCCCCCTGTCACCGTGTGTGTCCCCTCTGTCACCGTGTGTCCCCCGGTCACCATGTGTCTCCCTATCACTGTATGTCCCCCCTGGTCACCGTGTGTCCCCCTGTGTCACTGTGTGTCCCCCTGTCACCGTGTGTGTCCCCTGTGTCATTGTGTGTCCCCCGGTCATCATGTGTCCCCCCGGTCACCGTGTGTCCCCCCTGTCACCGTGTGTGTCCCCTCTGTCACCGTGTGTGCCCTCTGTCACTGTGTCCCCCCCCGGCACCGTGTGTCCCCCCTGTCACCATGTGTTCCTCCTGTGTCACCGTGTGTCCCCCCCATCCGCCCGTGTCCCCCTCCCTGGGGCCCGAGGGGTCCCGGTGGTCACTGACCTGTCCCGGTGTGTCACCCCCAGGGCTGTCCTGAGCCCCTTTGTCCCCCTGCCCCGTGAGGGGACTCGTGACCCCACAGGGACACGGCCGGGATGTGACCCCCCCCCCCCCAGTGAGACACCCCCGGCCCGCGGGGTCCCGGTGCCCCCCCGAGCCAGCCCCGGCCGCTGTCCCCGTGCCCCGGGACAATCCCGGGATAATCGGGAATCAAGGCCGGTGCTGCCGATCCCGGCTCAGACCGGCGGCCCCGGGGACAGGGGGGTGGGCACAGCCACGTGCCACCGACAGCGATGGCACCGCCCCCGCTGCCACCCGCCCACTGCCACCCCACCCTGGTGTCAGCATTCCCAATGTCACCCATTCCCAATGTCACCCATTCCCAATGTCACCCAGTCCCTGCCATCACCCATTCCCAATGTCACCCATTCCCAATGTCACCCAGCTCCACTGCCACCTGTCCAGTGTCACCCCACCCTGGTGTCAGCATTTCCAATGTCACCCAGCCCCAGTGTCACCTGCCCCTGCCATCACCCAGCCCCAATGTCACCTGGCCCCAGTGCCACCCCACCCTGGTATCAGCTATTCCCAGTGTCACCCAGCCCCAATGTCACCTGGTCCCTGCTATCACCCACTCCCAAAGCCACCCATTCCCAATGTCACCTGCCCCTGCCATCACTCGGCTCCAATGTCACCCAGCCCCAATGTCACCTGGCCCCATTGTCACCCATTCCCAATATCACCCAGCCCCAATGTCACTCAACCCCAATGCCAACCACCACAAATGTCACTTGGCTCCCATGTCCCTGCCATCAGTGTCACCCAGGCCCAATGACACCTGGCCATGATGCCACCGAGCCCCAGTGTCACCCAGCCTGGATGTCACCTGGTTCCAATGACACCTGGCACAGATGGCAACCATCCCCAATGTCATGTGTCTCCAATGCCACCCATCCCCACTGTCCCCAAAGTCCCCTATGACACCTGTACCCAATGTCATGTCCCAAATGCCACCCATCCCCTGTGTTCCCATCCCCAGTGCCACCCACCCCCAATGCCAGCTGTCCCCTGTGCCACCATCCCTGCACAGTTCTGTGTTTATTTGAGCCGTTGGTGACACGGAGCAGCAGTCACACAGTGACACAGGGACCTCACTGTGGGGTCCCACCGGGGCACGGTGACCTGGTGACGTGGCCACCTCGCTGTGGTGACGTGGCCACCTGGGCTCAGGCACGGGGCCACCCGGGCACGGTGACCTGCTCACACTGGCACAGGGACAGGGCCACGCGATGAGGCGAGGGGGGCTAGGTGGCCGCGTCCCCCGCCGTGTCCCCTGCCGTGTCACTGGCCAGGGCCTTGGCCACCTTGTCCTTCAGGTAGGCCACGCGCTGCCGCTCCAGCTTCAGCTCCAGGAACTCGTAGTGTGGCACCTGCAGGGAGGGGACAGGGCTGTGACGGCGGCCGAGGGGTCCCAGCCGTGTCCCCTCCTCTCCTGCCCCGGCTGTGCCACGGGAGGGTCCCAGCACCCACCTGGGGTCCCAGCGCCCACCCTGGGACGTGCCACCGCCCCCAGGTGTGACGGTGCCAATGGGAGCGGGGGCTGGCAGTGACCTGGGGGTGGCACGTGGCTGTCGCACCCCCCGGGCTATAATTACCCGCAGGGGTTAATCCCGGATGACCCCACAGGATCAGCCGTCCGTGTCACCTCCCTGTCACCCCTGTCCCCCCAGCCCCTGGCAGGTGGCCCGGGGGGATCACGGTGGCTCATCCCCGCTGAGCCCCGGGCGGGGGCAGCTGGCAGCCCCCGGGGGGGTGACACAGCCTCCGTGCCAACGGTGCCAGCCGTGCCCAGCTGTGCCAGGGGGACAACGGCACCCGGCTGCTGGCACCAGGGTGGCCACGGGGACTGTCCCCCGGGCTGGGCACAGGTGAGGCCACACCTGAGTCCTGGGGACACCTCACACCATGGGGGTGGGCTCTGCTCCCGAGGGGGAGCTCCAGGCGGCATCTGGGGAACACCTGGGGAGTGTTTGGGGAACATCTGGGGAACATTTTGGGAACATTTTGGGAACATTTCTCCTGGAAGGGGATGGGAGGCCCCAAGTGCCAGGTGGATGTGTCACCCAGGGACCCGGGGGGTGTTCCCAGCGTTGGGGTGGGTGTTGCTGGGTGTTGTTGCTGGGTGTTGGTGGGTGTTGCTGCTGGGTGCTACTGGCTGGGTTGCAGGGGGTTGTTGCTGGGTGTTTCTGGGTGCTCATGGATGTTGCTGGGTGTTGCTAGGTGTTCAGGCTGTTGCAGGGTGTCGTTGCTGGGTGTTGTTGCTGGATGTTACAGGGTGTTCCTGGGTGTTGCTGGGTGTTGCAGGGTGCTGTTTCTCGGTGTTACAGGGTGTTGTTGCTGGGTGGTGTTGTTGGATGTTACAGGGTGTTGCAGGGTGTTCCTGAGTGTTCAGGGTGTTCAGGATGTTGCACGGTGCTGTTTCTCACTGTTGCAGGCTGTTGCTGTGTGCCACGCTCACCTCGGCCAGCAGGAAGCCGGCAGCTCGGAGGTGCCTTCGGGCCATGGAGCCCCGGCCCAGCAGCTCCCGGCCCCGAGAGCTGAACTGCGGCAGCTCCCAGCGCAGCACGGCCACCCTGGGGACAGGGACAGGGACGGGGACAGGGGTGAGCACGGCCACCCTGGGGACAGGGACAGGGACAGCCGTGAGCACGGCCACCCTGGGGACAGGGACAGGGACAGCCGTGAGCACGGGGACAGGGACAGCCATGAGCACGGCCACCCTGGGGACAGGGACAGGGACAGCCGTGAGCACGGCCACCCTGGGGACAGGGACAGGGACAGCCGTGAGCACGGGGACAGGGACAGCCATGAGCACGGCCACCCTGGGGACAGGGACAGCCGTGAGCACAGGGACAGGGACAGCCGTGAGCACGGCCACCCTGGGGACAGGGACAGGATAGGCGTGAGCACGGGGACAGGGACAGCCATGAGCACGGCCACCCTGGGGACAGGGACAGGATAGGCGTGAGCACGGGGACAGGGACAGCCGGGACAGGGACAGGGACAGGGGTGAGCACGGGGACAGGGACAGCCGGGACAGGGACAGGGGTGAGCACGGCCACCCTGGGGACAGGGACAGCCGTGAGCACGGGCACCCCAAGCCCACAGAGATGGCCCTGCGGTGCCCGAGCTGTGCCACTCCCATCACCTCCTGTCCCCTTGCAGTCCCACGTCCCCTCCCTGTCCCCCTCCTGCCACCTCTTCTCCCCCACTGACCCTTTCTATTCCCCCTCCTCATCCCCTCCCTGTTCCCCTCCTCTTCCTCCCCTTGTCCCCCCTTCCCCTGCTGTCCCCCCCCTTCCCCTGCTGTCCCCATCCTGTCCCCTCCCCTGTCTCCCCTTTCCCCCCCTTGGGAGTCCCTCCCGTCCCACCCACCTCCTGTCCCCCTTCGTGTCCCCCCCTGTCCCCACGCACCTCCTGGCCCCCGGTGGCAGCGGCTTTGTCCCCTCAGAGTGGGACAGGTGCGGGGCACTGTAGTCCCTCACGGGCAGGGGTTTGTTGTCACTGTCCAGCACCGCCTCGGCATCTGCAGGGACAGAGGGGACAGGGACTCAGAGCCACCCAGAGGGGCAGTGTGTCCCTGGGGAGGGACTCAGAGCCACCCAGAGGGGCAGTGTGTCCCTGGGGAGGGACTCAGGGCCACCCAGAGGGGCAGTGTGTCCCTGGGGAGGGACAGGGGACTCAGAGCCACCCAGAGGGGCAGTGTGTCCCTGGGGAGGGACAGGGGACACAGAGCCACCCAGAGGGGCAGTGTCCGTGTGGATGCACCTCCCCAGGTCCCATGGCAGGGGACAGGGGACTCGTGGAGCACGGGCCTTGCTGTGGCAGCCGGTGGC